TTCTTGTCTTTGTTTTTTGCACTGAGCTACATTCCCAGGCCTCTTCATTTTTCATTTTGAGACAAGTTGCTCAGTCTGGGCTCAAAATTGTAATCCTCCTGCCTCAGCCCATTCTGGGGCCTTACTGCCTATATCGGGGAGTAAAAGTAAAAACAGCCACCCACTCAAACTTCCCTGAGTCCTCAGTGACTTTGCTTAGCACCTCCTCTTGACAGCCTGTTGGCTTCTCCACTGCCCAGGAACCCCAGATGGCCAGGAATATGCCTCCACTGAGTGTCCATACCCTGGGTGAGCCTCTCCAATTCCACAGTCTTCCTGTTGAATAACTTCTTTTCCTGTGCTTGTTCTCTACCCATTCTTCTTCTAGTTCTGGATCCAGCTGGTAATCCCATTAAAGTAACCATGCCGTCCGCGTGTAGAACCAATTTAGTGATGTTCTGAGCCTGTGCTGGTTCAGTGGCTTTGCAGGCTGCATGGATTTCTACTCTGCCTGTCACCAGGGGAGTCTAATGCCTACTTTGGAAGTGCGGCCTGGTCCCCACTAAGCACTGATTCCTGTTCCCGCCCTCCCACATGCTACTAGAGCAGCAAGCATCAGTGCAGATCACAAGTCTCTCGTGTAAGCAAATGCGCCCTTGCTAATGGAAGGGGCTTACGCTGTTCTGTCTCATGTGGTTTGTACTCAGCTCTGTTTGCATCTTCATTAAATAAATCAGACACACAAACTGAAATATCACATGGTTTCTCCTATACTAGAAACCAGAAGTATAAATAATTTAAAAGGCAAAATAAAAGATAAATAAAGGAAACAGAGAGATGGATCTTTTGTAAGTGGGAGGAAGAAGCCACTTGCTGGCTTTCACCTATGTTTCTTGTGTATTTTTCTGCCCCTCTGAACCATCTGGGCTCTCAGAGGTCCTGACAAAGGCCTGGACTTTATCTTCTGTGCCAAACCTCTTAAATCTGGTAGCAGGAAACCAGTTCACCTGTGTACTGTACTCATTCCAAGTCAGAAAGACCAAGGTCCCACAACCCCTCCACTAGGCACAGAACATCCCGACCCTGCAGCAGACCCAGCTTAGCACATGGCAGCCAGGGTGACTCTGTAGGGCAGAGGCAGGAGTGTAAGAATCTCTCACTTCCACGAAGATTACCACATTTTGGACCCAGTCCTCATGCCAGACTATGGATAGTTTCACTTCTTTCCAGTCTGGATTTCTCTCTCTCTTTTTTCCTTCTTTCCTTCTCTCCCTCTCTCTTTTCTTCTGATACTAGAAATCGAACCCAGGGGTTTTGCACTGAACTATATCCCCAGGCTCTCCCCCAACCTACTTTTATTTTTGAGACAGGGTCTAAGTTGTTAAGTTGCCTGAGCTGGGCTCAAACTTGCAGTCCTCCTGCTTCAGAATCCCAGGGTGCTGGGAATCAGAATACCCAGCTCAGGAGGCCAGTTTTTGTTTGTTTTTTTTTGTTTTGTTTATTTTTGTTTTTTGAGACAGGATCTTGCCATGTAGTTGAGGCTGGCCTTGAACTCACTATGTAGGTCAGGCTGGCCTCAAACTCCTAGTGATCTTCCGGCCTCAACCTCCTGAGTGCTGGGATTACAGACATGAGCCACCACATCCAACATAGGAGGCCTTTTTCTTTTTCTTTTTCTTTTTTTTTTTGTAGAAAAAATTTGCAGCAAATTCACAGCAATTCTCCTGCCTCAGCTCCCAAATTCCATCATGTCTGGTAGCGGCCAATATTTAAAGATAAGCTGAGGTGGGCCAGGGTCCAGTTGATTATTATCTCAATCCTGGATTTGTAGCTTAGGTTGAATCCTCATGATTTGAGAGGCAATTCAGTTGCCATAAGAGGAATTGTCATGGCCGTACCATTCCCAGGAAGTGATTGTGTATGGTTGTTTCAGTCTTGTGGAACACTGATTTTCTTGGAATTGAGGTGATCACAGGTTCAGGACAATGACTGGAGTCTTCAGGGTTAGGTGAATATCCCTGTAAATTCATCATCTTGGTATCCTCAGTCTTGAAGGAGGAGGTGTGGTAGTGCACGCAGGAGGCTGAGGCAGGAAGATTGCTGAGAATTCAAAGCCAGCGTGGGCTACATCATGAGAATGAGTCTCAACATATATATATGGGTTTTTTTTTTAGTTAAATTCAAGGTGAATCAACCTTGTTTTCCCAACTTTTCTATACCTAGAACTGAGAAGGGATTTGACCCATAAGGATTTGGGGATGGCAGGAGATGAGAGGGTAGGAAGGGGAAGTCAAAATGATTAAGATTTATGTAAATGTGACACCTCCAGGGGCCAGGGATTTAGCTCAGTGGTGCTGCCACCTGCCATGCAAGCAAAAGGTCCCGAGTTCGATGCCTGGTACCAAAACATAAGTAAATATGTGACACCTCCAAGGTGAATGTGATTATTATATATCCAACGTACTAATACAAAGGCAAACTCTTACAGCTAGTGGTAGTGGATTCAGGAAACAAAATAAGGATGATACAAAATGAAGATCAAGCTTTGCTCTGTTTTTAGCAACCTGTTGAGCATCTTTAGCCCAAATAAGGAGGTTTTTTTTTTAATCCCATAATTGTATTGGTACATTTTAGGTATGCATTATGATCACATCCATCCTTGGGAATTTGTACCTGTACATGATGTATCTTGGTTCTTGTTTCTTCCCATTCCCCTTCCCAAAGAGTTTTTTGTTGTATTTTTGTTTTGTGTTCTTTGTAAAAATGACTTTTAAGTCCAGGTCTCAGAAGAAAACACAAGTAGTACTTTCAGTAACAGGCTAAGGGCCCAGGAGTCTGCTCACCCTCGTTCCTATAGAGTTCTCTATGTCATGACTGTGTCAACCACAGTTGGCCTCGAATGTCCATTAGTATATTGGCACCGGTGACTCAGAGTGTAGTGAGATCCCTTCTCTGGCCAAATAATAAGTCAGAGCTCCAAAATCCTGTGTATCAGTTCTAAGGTGGTTGTTGGTAAGGCCTTGGAGGCACTCCTATTACAAAGCTCTTCAAGTTTCTCGGTCAGAAATGCATTGTTCTAGACTTTTTGTGGAGGCATTTCAGGGCTAGGGACATCTGCTTAGTTATATTTAGGCAGCACAGGGGTGGAGTAAGAGATACGCAGTGAGAGCCCATCTTCGAAGTTCCTCTTGACAATATCAGCCAAAAATTAGAGGAGAGTAAAGGGGCTGGCTATAGTAGAGAGTTCCGTGCAGCACCATCTTGTCTGGGAGGCCACTATCCCGTCACCCCCCACCCCCGCAAGCTTCAGGGGCCCCTAAGATATAACTCCACAAGCCGCCTCTAAACCCGGAAACACAGAAAGTTATGAGGGGAGTATGTTTTGATTTTGCTTTGGCTTGTTTGTTATCAGTTTGCTATGAACAGTTACCATTTTATTCCACCAGTGTTCTCACTTTGAAAGTGAGGACATTGGTGGAATAAAATGAAATGAGAAGAGGGAACTTGGCACCCCATGCCTCGGACACAAACGAGCCTGAGGGGCATCTGTGATGGGCGTGTAGTGGGACATGGGCCTCCTCGTGCCTATGCGGACAGGACAGCCATGACGTATTCAGTGCACGCGGCTCTCTTGAGTGGGGAGTTGTTCTCGGGGTCCCCTGGGGTCCTTCAAGGCCTGCCAAGTGTCCCTAGGCATCTGGGGGGCTCTAGGCACACCCACACACACACTGGGAGACTGCCGGTTGCCGCAGAAGGCCGTCTGCCTCCTTGCAGAACATGATCTGCAGTTACAGGCTCAGGGCAGCCAGTGTGAATTCTGCTGACTCACAGACATTTCCCCGTGCTGGACATCCACAGACCCCACTCGCCCTTATTGAGGGCCTGGGCCATGGGTCAGGGTGGAGCCCAAGGAGGGCATGGGCAGTGGGAGCCCAGTGGGCTCGGTACCCTAGACCTC